CTTTCCGAAGGTGTTACCGCCCTTCCTGAGGTACAGCCCCGGTTGGTAATGCCGTCTCCCAATGTTGGTGCTCCCACGCTGCAAACGTGGCTGGCATCCCATTCGACGGTGCTGTCGCAGGGATACTTGCTTTGGCTCATCGAGGCGCAGCCTTCAGACTGGCTGACTCTCCTGTCGCAAGTGGGGACTTTGCTTACGCATTCTCCGCATTGTTGTGGTGTGGTGTTTCCGCCCCAGCAACTTGTGTCTTTGCGCAGTTTGGTGGGGTGCGACGTGAGACTTTTTGTCCAGCGCCTGGCCTCTTCGTCGGTCTGGTGGGGTATTCCCAGTGGTTAGGATTTCCACCAATTGGCCACCACAGGGGCGCCACCTGCCGTTTCCGCGCTGGAGTTGGCAACCCGCTGGTTGCACTGCTTGGCCAATGATTCTGTCGACCCCCTTTCTGTGAGGGCCGACTCCCTCCCACCCTCCCGGGGGGGGGCGGGACGGTCCCAAAACTCGCTGACGAAGGAAGCGAAGGAGGTGTTGAGAGGGCGGGAGGGACATCTTATGACAAGGCAGCGGAATACCTGGAACATTGCCAGTCTTCTTTCTCGGTCGATAAAGCCATGGAGGCCGGTAGGTTGGGAGCGGAGCTGGTGTTAGCAGCTGGCACTGTAAAGGAGGCCGTTGAGGCTTTAAATTCGGTCCGGGCTGCTACACTAGGTGACCACCTTGCAGGTGCAAGACACGGCTTGTTCAAAGGCGTGTCCGCCCTTCACCAGGAGTACCTCCGGCAAAGCGCGGAGGAGGGAGTGCCGAGCCGTAGGGAGGCCCCTCCGTCGGGAAGAAGCCAAGAACCATGGGTCGGTGTACGGCTACGAAGAGGAGCTCCTCCAAAAAGCATGGAAGGACGCAGCCTACGGCGCCGCCCTCCTGAGGGGAGAGTCGAGTGCCGGAGAGCCCTCTGGGCCGTGTGCCCAAACAGAACCCTGACCGGACTATTTCCGCGGAGGGCAGGCCCATCAACGACATGAGCGAGGCCGGCTCCAAGTTCAACCACCCCCCGGCCCCTCAACCCAGACACCACGCGGTGGCGAGGCAATCGTTGTGGTGGAGGGCAAGACACCCCGGTATCCCGCAGAGGTGTGCCAAACGACACGTGCCACGTGCGTTTAAGTGGCATTTCCTTCGCCCACAGGACGTTCCTGAGTTTGCCGTTCGGTTGGCTGGATTATAATCATACACAGCCTGGCCATGCCCTTTGGATGGGTAGGCTCCCCCGGGGAGTTTGTTGCCTGGAGTGCCGCCGCAAAGGCGCATCACGGGTCGTTCCGCCCTGAAGATCCCCGCTTCAACGACGTGGTTCCGTACGAGTCCAAGTGGTTGATGGATGACGGGGTGGTGGTCGAGCCGTTGTTGGAACCCGGGTCTTCGACTCTTTGGAGGTTCTTGACGAAACCATGAAACTTGTTTGGCCCCGAAGGGGTGAATGTGGAGAAGATGGCAGAGGAGGGGGAACCCTCAGCGACTCAGCTGTTGTGGGGGCTCCACATGGATTTCGAGCAGCATCAGGTAAGACTCCCGGAGCCCAAAAGAATGAAAGCCAAGTGCTTGCTCGGTGAGCCAGCGTTGCAGAGGGGTTGTAAGGATGTCCCGCTTGGCCTGCTGCAGGAGGTTATTGGATGCGCCCAGTACTGGACGGTAGCGTGCCCTGCGCTCACCCCACATCTCCCGTCTTTGTACTGCCTCCTGAAAGGTAACCTCCAAGGGCAGGGTCGGAAGGAAGTTAAAGGGAAGTCACAAACGTTGCTTAAGGTGGAAGCTGACGATCCTGAAGAGGAAGCCCTCAGGTGGGAAAACTTTTGGGACGCCCTTGACTTCATTAGACTTCAGCTTGAAGCTCCGTTGCAGTCCAGTTTCGCCTCTGTGTTTGAGAAGCTTTTGCCCATCCGCGAGAGACTCGCTCTTCCAGGTGCTACCGCCCGAACGCGGATCACAGGGGGGGACGCTACTCTGGGCAGGTTTGGCGCGGTTGATTGGAAGGCCAAGGTCTTCCACGCGTCCTCGGTGGATAAATTCCAGGATGCTTTGCGCGCTGTGGCCTCCTCGGAGGACGAGGCTGACATCATCTCCATCATGGAGCTACTCGCCTTCGTGGTCCTAGCATGCCACCGAAAACAGCATTGGGATGGTGAAATTGTCCTTTATACGAATGTGCGTAGTTGGCTCTACAAGCGCCGCCCAGGTAATAGGGTGGCAAGTCTGCTTATCAGGCTAGTCCAGCGCTTAGAGTGTGAGCACAATTTCACTGTCCATCCTATATATATCCGGAAGTATCGGAATCAGCTTGCTGACTGGTTGAGTCGGGAAGATCTGGGAGTGGTTCGAAAGCAGCTTGTGGCTGACGGCTGGGATGAGACCCCAGGAAAGATCAAGTGGGAGGAGTTCCTCCAAGATGCCAAGCGCTCCGCTCTGGTCTTGCCACTGGGATTGGACCCAAGCGCGCAAAAGGCTCGTGAGCTCACTCACTGTCCCGACTTCCCGGAGCTCACCAGCTGTGCCATCGCCCTCCGGTTATTTCGCGCCTGGGAGACGGGAAGCCACGGCAATGCCTGGTTTACCTTCTCTCAGGACCCGCAGAAGGCACGCTTTTGGGCCCGCCTTAAGGAGAGCAAGAGTCGCCTCGGCAAGCTGGCGGTCGACTGCCCAAGGCAGTTTGATGTGTCGTCTCTGATTGCTGGCATACAGGAGATCCTCCCTAATCTTAGGACGGTGTCGTACGTCAGCTCTTATTTGGGCGCCTTTAGTGCCCGACGAAGGACACTTCTGCGAGGTTGGGCTGATCAGGTGTCTCCGGCAGGGATAGAACAGCATCGGGTTCACCCACCCCCTGCCATGCAGCTGATCCCGTTGGACCCTGAGGCCAAGACCGCTTCCTTGCACTTAGGGGGTGTGGTGACTCAGGAGCCTGGCATCGTCACATCCGGGGATCCCTGGCTCCCGCACCCCTACGGACATGTTAAGGGGCCCGGCTTCCCGGCTAAGTGCTTGGTTCACCACACGTCAGGGCCCGCTTGTGCCTTTTTGGGCCCCACGCGGGACCTAAAGGGTCCCGGGGGCCACTTTGATCCCCAGCATATCCGGGGGAGTCCGGCCCTTAAGTCCCGGCGAGATAGCCAAAGCACAAGGAGTCACCTCCCAGGAGTGGACGGCCCTTGTTAAGGCTGAGGGACCGGAGAAGCCGCATGCTGGGCTTGTGGCAAACCCCCGCAGACAAAGTCGGGAATTGTTTGGACCCTGATGAGGAGGAGGCTAATACCACTTGGAGTCGGTGCCCAGATCGCCCTCGTGACCTCTTGGACCTTGTGCCGTTTGGGTCGTGAGGGCCCGGAGTGGAACCTACTGCTTGGGATTGTTCTGAGGACACCCGAGTAGGGGGCCCTGTTAAGAGGAAGGCTGATCCAGCCCATCGCTCATTAAACCCCAGTCCTACTGGGCGACGAGAGGGAAAGGTTCTTCAGGACTCGCGGCTTACCCCTAGGCAGCGGGGTCTCTTTTCTTGACCAGGTGGGGCAGGAGGCTGTTTCTCAGCAAACTCGCTGACTCTACCAGGCGCTCCACACGGGGTGGAAGCAATGGGCAGCTTTCATGTCTGGCACGGGGGTGTCACCCTTCTTGCAAGGGGAGTCTCGGATGGAGAAGCAACGAGACGAGGATTGGTTGATCCGCTTTACTGTTTTCCTGCATCAGGTGATGGGCCGCGCCGCCCAAGGCATCAAGCAGCGGCTGTCAGGGATCCGGTACGCGCACATAGCAGCCGGCTACCAGGACCCCTTAACAGGCCGAGTCAGGCTTTGGGCAGCGCTCGCTGGGATGAACCACTGGGACGGGGCCCCAGTCCGTAATCCCCGTTACCCCTGGCATGTTCACTTGGTTGAAGCGGTATCTTGACGGGTCGGACCGCCCTCTCGCGGAACGGAAAGCTCTTTACCTCGATCTGCCTAGGTTGGTTCTTCATGCTGCGAGCTTCGGAGTACCTCCCCGGCTCGGATCTTTGCAATGTTCCCACTCGGGTCCTCCGAGGCAGCGACATTGACTTCTTCTGCAAGGGGCAACGCTGTTCCGTGTTTGAAGCTGACTCTGTTGCCGTGCAGCTAAGGGATTCTAAGGGGACCAGTTCGGAAGGGGACAGGTTAGGCTCCAGCACGCCACTGGCGAGGACATCTGTCCTGTCCGGGCCTTGCAGGAACACGCTAAGCATAACCCTTTTTGGGTAAGCGACGTTAGTCTCCCTGTTTGCGCTTGGCAAGGCATAGGCATCTCACGAGAGGGTCTATCTGACCTACTAAGCTTAAGGCTGGCTGCTGCGGCGCTAGGCTATCCAGCGCATCTCGTCGCCTCCCACAGCCTGCGAAAAGGAGGCGCCACCGCCATGCTTGCCGTAACTAGCGACGTGGAAGTGGTTAAGAGGTTTGGAGGCTGGAAGTCTGATGCTGTACATGCCTATCTGTACACTGACCTTGCTGCTGCTCCCAGTCGGTCCAAAGACATGCTGGCGTCCCGCCCGGTGCTCCAACCGCAGCAGTATATGCACCCTAGCGGGCACTCTTGTATGAACGAGAGCTGGGGGCCCTTCCAGTGAAAGTGGTAGCGCGGAGGGCTCCGATGAGGGATTCGATGAAAATTGGGCCACTAGCCAAGCGCATCTTGAGCACCTCGAAAGAACCACCGGACTCACCTTCATTCAAAGAGTCAGGCTCCGTAGGTAATTGGAAGCAGGCGGAATTGTTGATCCCCCACCCTTCCTTTTTAGGTATGGAGGTACCCCCGAATGGCTCCTCCCTCCTCAAGCTGGGCCCAGTAGAACCTCTGAGAGTTCGTCGTCGGTCGCGTTGCATGAGAGCCAACAGCCTATTGCCCCGCAGAGACCTGGTTCACGTGTGTCTCCCGAGCTGCTTTCTTTGCTCCAGCAAGCGTTCCGCTCTCCCCGGCGCACCGCCTCTCCTTCTGCTCTCAGCATGGCCGAAGCTGCTCCGCCAACCGGTATGGGCAATCGCCAACTTCGAGAGTGGATCCAGGAATGGGGCAGTGCATGGGATTTCCTCGGCCTCGCCCCGGGCAGTGCTATGAGTGAGGTCCTCCGCGCCTCCAAACGCACGGCGATCCGCCTCAGATCGATAGGTACCCTCGCATCCGCTGTGGACGTGTGCTGAGGTGCTGCAAAAGGGGCCTCCCTACCGGTACCGCCGACAGCAAAAGGGGGCTTCCAAAGGCCCGTATGGCAGTTACCGCCCTGACGATGTACCTGGACGAAAGGGGGCCAAAAGGTGACGGAGAACCTCCTCATGGACCTCATGCGAGTGGGGAAGCTTTTTCGTCAGCTGGCGCTCCGCTCCGGCCTAACCCCTGGGCACGGGCCAAGGAAGCGCCGCCTCCCCCCCCCGCCGAGCTCAAGTCGGTCTTTGGTTGTGGCTGCATTTTTCCAGCATCAGAAGCCCTACAAGGCCCCACCGAAGGCACGTCCCAGCACGGCGCCTCCACCTAAGAAGGCTGCTCCACCCCCAAAGCCGTCGCAAGCCCCTGGGGCCGAGGCTCCGCCCTCCCCACCAAGGCGCCGCCTCCACGTTTGACAACACGATGCGGTGGATCTGTGGAGGCTGTGGAGAACCTAATGGGCTTCATCGGTATGGCTGCAATGGGTGCCGTCGCTCTCGACACGCTGCAGGAGAGGGCGACACACTGGATATGCCCCGACTGCCAGGATGAGACGACCATCAAAGCGAACCAGTGTTCTGGATGTGGATGCTGGCGGCCAAGACATGGGTCTCTCATCAATAACGGCCCTGCCCCCGACGACCTGCTGGTGCACCCGAGGGCGTCCACAGCCCCTGTTGTGCTCAATCGCCGGGCACAGCGGAAAGGCATCCGCCAAAGCCATAGTAGTCATTTCCGACTGGGGCCTGTTTGGGAGGCCCTTTGTCTGGCTTGGATGAGGACGAGCAGATGGAAGAGGAAGGCGTCACCGCCCTCTGCCGCTACAGCCGCACCGCCCCCAGCCAGTGCCGAAGTCCGTCTACTTCGCCAAGAAAGGCCTTGGAAAAGGTAAGGGTATGGGCGCACTGCCCGAGGGACCTCTGCCCCCTACTCCAGCCACCCCGAAAAGCTATGCCGCACCGCCACCGGCGTCTGGTGGCCTTCAGCCTGTGGTCGACCCGCCCCAAGGGCCAGCTCCGAAGAAGGGCAGGGGCCCACAGAGGAAAGCCGTCCTATGGCGATTGTGGCACCGAACGGAGAGGCCCTGTGGTTCTCACTGTGCGCGAGCTTGACATCTTGGTCATGTGCCGCAGGGCCCTATGCGGGTTGCAGTCATGGGGGCGCGTGGGAGTGATCTTCATCCGTCGAGTGGCACAAGATATCCTGCACTGGGCGCACCGCCGAGGCCACATGTCCCGGATCCATCTTGCAAATCGGGACAATCCATGCTTTATGGACCTACAGGAGGCACATCCGGAACCTCAAGGCGATCTACCGCCCCTCAGCCCTGCGACCGGAGACCATCGCCCCCTGTTCACCTTTCAGGACTTCCTGAGGAACCCCAGCCTTGGTCAACATTACGGGGGGAATGAGGGGCCACCTCGCCCAGGCCGTGCCGCCCTACCCTGCATTTACCCGGCCCCGCTCCGCCTGCTCCCGCTTGCAGAGACCTATGCGGAAGCGGACCAAGCCCAGAATGTTATGGGCCGGTGGGCTATGCAGATCTTGGGCAATGGGCCGGCAGTTCCGCCAGATGAGGGCGTACCGCCTGCAGATGGCAGTAAGGGTGCCTCCGCCCCGAGTTCGACGCCGAGTGGCAAAGGCTCCGGGAACGCTGGCAAGAGAGCCACGCACTGGTACTGCAAAAGGTGCTCCTATGGGGTGCCAATCACCCGCACGATTTGCACCATGTGCAACCGTGACAGGGAGCAATGCGTGGTATCTGATGACGAGGAACCGGAGGATGATGTCGTCCTCAACAAAGAGGAGCTCGAGGAAGTTGCCCGGCTCGAACGAGAATGCGCGGACCTGGAGCAAAGGATGAGAGGCCTCAACGCCGGCCAGCAGCGGGCACTCCTGGAAAACCTCGCGAACAGCTCGAGTGCCGTGATGGGAGGGCTTTTGGCCGATACCATCAGGCGCACCGCCCAGCTACGAGGGCAGAAGGGTAAAGGGGGGTCCAGCAATGTCAAGGTGAGGGCATCCAACGACACTGCTCGCAACGACCCCAAGTACCTGGCCGATTTGGAGGCAGGTGTATCCACGGCAGTGGCGTTTCAACGCCATCGCTCCCGACTTCGTGCCGTACAACACCAGGTGGCCCAGGGCAATGTGGCGTTACAGCCCCGTGCC